CTCGCTTTTCAGAACGATGAGCTTTGTAAAAATCAACGTGTTTCAGAAAGGCAGGGCATAGAGGAGAAACAATAATGTACAGTATGAGGAAAATAATGTGTTTTTTTAACCTTAAACCGCATAAACACATTTCATTACACCAAATACACAAAATAATGTTCTTTTTAGCAGCATCATATGACCCCTTTAAGACAAGTCTGAGGTTATCCTAACTTGAAGTTATTTACGATGATTTTTAAGAAGATTCTTTTCAAGAATTTGAACTCTTCTCAAGTTTTGTCTTAAGAACAATCTTGAGAAAAAAGATAAGAGGAAATTTTGGGGATACAAATAAAATAATAAGAAAATGGCAGTTAAGAAGATTGATTTTTCTGAAGAATGTTTCGTGAATCCGGCCCCAGGTTTTAGATCTTGCCTACAGTAAAACTGTACATCATTGTCAGATGCTGCAGATCATCCCAAACTAAATCTCTGATGGACAGACAACCCAGTGTCAGCCGCTCCACCTGCTTTCTGAGATCTTCAGTCTAGTCCAAACTCAGATAAACACTCATCCATAACAACAGTCATGCTGCTGATGCAGTAGTCCACAGGCACATAGGAAACCTCTCTCCTCTGCCATAGTTTAGTTGCTGTTGAAGTGCAATAGTTATTCCACTGGAACAGACTTCCTTTAGTAGAGGACTCGATCAAATCTAGTTCTTTCAGTCTATGATCAATAGAACAAACATTGTCAGTTGCAAGGTAATCACATATTAACTATTAAAACGCTGTAATTATAGTATACAGTAGGACTTTCAAGTTTGAAAATTAATATATTAAATTCAATTAGAAAACGTTAAACATACTTGTTAAATACAGTTTAATTTATCATATATATGTTGTGTAATGTGTTTTTGTCATGATTTTGTTAGAACACTGTTTTGATACTGTTTACTATTTTTCATATAGAGTGTTTTTTTGGTGAATTGTATTAAAACCAGTTAGAAAATACAAAAAAATAAGATAATAATTAATAAATATAATAATCGTATAACTTACAGAAATGTATTGTCCCCGGTTTTGTGGCTCGCTCGTCGTACTGCGCGCGGCGCGGGGCGGGGCCAGTGCGCGGTGACGTCAGAAAGGTCGTGGGTGAGAGGTGATCGGGACACATCTTGTTGTCTTTGTAAGAGTGGAGCTCGATCACGCAGCCGTGTCTTCCCTCTTCCCCGAATCCTCTCAAAACTCCCTCCCGAACCTCCCGGACCTCCCCCTCTCCCCCTCCGGACCCTCGGACCCTCTCCCCTCCCGCAGCGCGCGTCAGGTGAGGCTATACCGCGGCTCATGCGCTCACGAGCGCGAGGGGCCTGCAGGCCGCGGGCTAGCGCTAGCGCTCGGGCTAATCGCGCTTCTCGCTTCTCCTGCGATATTAGTGGATATTTCAGCGTTAAGCACGGCAGTGCGTCGTTTAAAACAAACGCCGAACGCCGTGAACACAGCCCAAAGACGCTCTGTTACGCAGCTAGTAAACACACGAGCTAAAGCAGCTTTACCAGCGATTCACGAGCCGATGGGTCATATTTACATAAATAATGCGCTGATTTAAAACAATATTCATTTGAGTTGCAGGAATTAGCTTCATATTTATACGAGTGGCCTGCTGGGTAAAGTGAATATTTATAGTAAATATTACTGCTGATGAAAATGTGACCTGCAAAACAGTGCCAATGAATGGCATGTTTACACTCATTCAGCGATTGCGTGAGTTTTTATTCGGATTCACTGAACCCGTGGCGTTCTCTGCAGGACAGCGTGGATCTCCTGCAGGTTGACTGCTGTTGTGTTGTTCAGTGACCGTGTGTGTGTGTGTGTGTGTGTTTAAATGGCGTATTTACAAAGAGAATCCGCCGATTTAATACTAAAATCGTTTGACTAACAGGAATTAGCTTCATATTTATACGAATGGCCTGTTGGTGAAAGTGAGTATTTATAGTAACCCGGATTCGTGTTTTTCGGGATAACCTGCTGTTGAAGATGTGCAAAACAGCGCCAATGAACGTAGTGTTTACGCTCCGCTGCTTCACTTCCGTCGGCCATTGCGTGTGTTTTTCATCAGATTACTTCAGCTCCTACATGTACCGTGTTTCACCGTGATGTGCAGTGCAGGCTGACTGCTATAGTGCTGTTGTGCTGCCGTAGTAAAGGAGTGTGTGTGTGTTGACAGGTTGATCATCCGTGACCAAAGATTCAGAGCTCGACTCATTGATCATCATGGACTCAGGTGTGATTGAAGGAGGACTCAACGTCACGCTCACCATCAGACTGCTCATGCATGGCAAAGAAGTGGGCAGCATCATTGGAAAGGTGGGTTTGAAACAGTGCTGCGCAGTAAGTATTTTGTTACTGTGTTACTGCCCTTAAGTACTTGAAGGATAAGGTAACCCAAAAATGAAATTCTGTCATTAATTACTCACCCTCAAGTCGTTCCAAACCCGTAAGACCTTCGCTCCTCTTCAGAACACAAATTAAGATGCGTTTGATGAAATCCGAGAGCTTTCTGCCCCGGCATAGACAGCAATGC